GTTTGATGAGGCATCTTTAAATTGTCTCACTTCACTCCAAAACGCTTTAGTTTCTGTTTTGTTTGTCCATTCAGCTAACTTTATTTTGGTTAACTGATATTCTGCTTCCGCGACACTATTATCAGTAGCCCCTAAAAATTTCATAACTTTACAATATTTAGGTATGTCCTTTATTGGCTGAAGTATGTTGCTCACAGAAAAAAAGTGAAATATTTTTCAAAACATCTAGATTTTCAGGAAGTCTCTGCTTCAATTGCTTCAATAATGGGATAAGGAAATCTTGACAGCGTTTTCTTAAGTTGTTCTCTTCATTCTCTGTTAACAGTCCTTTTGGTTTTAAATCATCAATTTTTGATTCGAATTTAATATCCAAGGTGTGGTAAGGAGCCAAATAGCTCTCTATAGTCCAAGTGGGCAAACCAGCTTTAGAAGTTGGCAACACCAGTCTTTTACCGAGTGAAATAGCAAGGTGAGATCATCAAGTAATTTAACTTTATCAACATGTTTAGATTCGAACAGTTTATTAACTTGTTTGCGCTTAAATTAGAATAGGTTATAAAAAGAGAATGAATGACAATTTTTTTTCATTACTGTACATTCCATATAGTATTTCAGCTGTGTAGCACTTTTCACTTTGTCTTGTTATTTCAAAGTGTGTCTTCAACTTCAGCCATTGCTTCATAATTCTTTCAACAGCTGGTTAAATTGATAACCATCTAGTTTTGCAATCTGATAGAATTTTCGGTGGCGTGGAACCATCATTCAAGGCTGTATATATTGTATTGTATTGCTGTTGTCTGACAAACGATTTGGAAAACCAGTAAAGTGTTTCAGCAATAAGGTATTCCAAATTCTTTGGTAAATATTTAGATGAAGCATGTGATAATGCTAGCTGCAATGAATGACGCATACATTTCATAAGTATTAACGATGGGTTAGCTTCCTTCAACTTGGCATAAACGCCATTGTTTATACCAACCATCACTGAGGCATTATCAGTACCAATTACAGCCAAATTCTTCAAGCCTTACTGTTTGCTGATTAAAAGGTCTTTCAGTTCCTAAACTATACTTTCGACACCACACTTTTCAAACTGAACTAGTCCAAGATTTTTTACAAATCGATCAATTGGTCACAGTTTGAAATTGCACAGTGACAAATTAAAAACATTGCGACTGATACTTCAACTTTTGATGATTCATTTATCAGTATAGTTCTGAAAACAGATGTCAGCGGTGTAATATATTTAAATGAAACTGCAGTTTTATGCTTTTTTAATCTCTGCATGACTCTTGAATTTTGTATTTTCGCTTTAATTTCACACTTGCAGTACTTACAACAAGCTTTGGTCATATCCCCAGTTTTTAATTTTGTCATCATGCAACCACTCTTTCCAAATTTTTTGCTCATACTTTACTTTTGGCATGTTGAAAGGTTTTTTCAAAGTGAAAGCCACATAAGAAGGTGAGCAATTATTTTTTTTTAAATCACATGAAAAAGAAACGCAAAGTCAGCACAGTGAGGATACGGTTGAAACAAAGTTAGTATGATTTACGCGCGTTTTTATTAATTAGTACCGGGGCTGCCAGATATTTGTGCATTGACCCCAGTGAAAGTTCAAAGTTCAAGTAATGGCAGTTGTCACAGTGTACGTGCCAGACCAAAACAAAAATTTTGTAGAAATATTTTACACAGTAATTATTAAATTGACAATGAAAGAAAAAAAATCTATAAAATATCTAACTCCATATGAAAAGATCTAGGAAAATATTTACGATCTAAACGTCGAAAATAGTATCTAAATGCAATGAAAAAGATCTCAATTTGGATATAAAAGATCCAAAGTGGCAACACTGGTGAACAGGGCGGATGCGCAGATAGATCATTACGGTCTGAGTAGAATGACGCTGCGAGGAATTACCAGGGGATATGGCCGACGCTCGACACTCAGGAGAAGGATGAGACGGATATACAGTCAGACGGCTACTGGTGCCATCGGAATTGGAACTCTTTGCTTGCTGTTGAAGATGGGGACGGAGCGCTTATGGGAGTGTCCCGAGTGCTGTGATGTCAATTCTTGATTCAACATTCTTTCAAGTGAACTTGTTAGCTAAGCACCCCAGCTCCCCCAGGAATGCATAGTTACATTTTTCAGTATTTGTTTATAGATTTCACACTTTTTCCAATAAATTATTACATTGATTTGCCATTCAACATATTATTTACATTACACAGAGCCGTCTGATCAGCATTATGGGCCCCTGGGCATACAAGCCCCTTTGACGACCACCCACAGGAATAACATTGTATTTATGGAACGTCACATGCCATACACAGATTAGCATGGCCTAAGTTCCTGGGATCCCCGGGCAAGTGCTCAGTGGGCCATGCGTTCAGACGGCTCTGACATTAGGCACACACAAAAATCTAGATTTTGGGCTTTTTAGGTCTCCTCTTCCTTGCATAGAAAACTGGTAAGGGACTGAGCTCATGCCCCGTGGAAGATATGCCCCCCCCCCTCCCCCCTTTCCCGGTCGTCTTTATATTTTTGTCTGTTCCCTGGCTCTACTATCCGCACATATTTATTGGAAGAAAACAAAAAGTAATATTATTGTTGTTATTATTATTATTAACTAGTCCACAAAGTATCACATGACTTTGTCTCAGATAAGGAGTCAAAAACTAACAACTAAAGAATTCTAAGAAACAGAACTCAGTTTCAGTCTTAGTCAAGTAACTGTTAGTACGGAAAGAATTGTTTTTCCATACGTAGAAAGTGAAAGAAAAGAGGACAGTTGCGTTGAATGCTTTTGAAATACAGTTTGTAACTATCCATTACTAATAGTATGTACACACGTTTGTAGTCCATTCCGTTATTTCGCCATGACAGATTTTCCATTGCCATTGGTAAGTAGATTTAGCAACACCATTCAACTCTGAATATTGTTTATCAATTACTATTACTAACAAAGACCTAGTTGTGGATTATAAAACATCCGGTGGGAGAATTACATTACTTCATATATAATCATTAAAATGTGTCTTTGGTTTCATTCGGTGTGCGTATATGCAAAGTAAAAATGTGCAGTATTCATCTTTTGTGCAAAGATACGTAATTGTTTAGTTTAAAATTAGGGAGGGGGATGTTGACCTGAAACAATTTACGAAAATTTTGAGGAGGTTAGGGTTCAGCTCCACCCCAACCACGCCTTCCTAATCACCTAGGCTAGTGGTCTCCAACCTTTCTTTTTCAGGTTGTCCCCTCCCTCTTCCCTTTTCATGAATATATGGCAAGACTCTACGCCTCCCCCTGTATATATGGTAGACTTCTACGACCTCTTGTGTAAATTGCCAGACACCCACGTTCGCATTGAGTATATGGCAACACCCCCCCCCCCCCCACTAAATTACAAAATGTGATTAAAATCAGCTTAAATTGTTTTCCTTCTCTCTGAAAATCATCTGGAGTCCCTGCTTACTCTCTACTCAATCAGTCTCTTCCGATGGAGTCAACAAATCTAAACGTGTGCAGCCTGGTGCTTTGGCATGCTAATTTTCACATCACCACAGGAAATTATAGTGTGCAGTGGACATGAAACAGGTTAAGGTCATGAGCACAGATATCAAACATCAAACATAAGCCGTGTTATCCAGTTAGTAATTCAACACAAACTGTGACTCGAAAGCTCAATGGAAGGAAAGGAAAAGGCACACAAAACTTAAATTTTTCCACTGAGAGTGCCACACACAACAGGAAACTCCAGTGGTAACCATCAGTGATCTCCTAATTGATTGCACTTGTTTACTGAAGGAAGGTCAAAATTCAAATCCACAGCTCTCCCTATGTACTTCTGTGGTCCCATTATGTGGAAAACAAGAATAGACCCCACTGCCTCCATATGAAGCATGTCATAAGAGTCGACTAATTAGAGGTTTCCTTACAAGTCTGAATGCACCTGTCTGAGAGCAAGAAACCAACAGTCTGCATACAGATAATTTAGATTTGTAAAATGGATGTGTATGCAACACAAGTTCTGAAACAAGACAAATGTCCAGAAGTATACAAACATCCAGAACTCTCCACTTGAGTTTACAGTGAACACAGAAGAAAAAGAAAAAGAAGAGCATGAGGCCAGTGGCAATACAACTTTGCCATGGATTTCTTTAAAGACTAAATAATTAAAATGTTGTAAAGGCTTTTTTTTTGCCACTATCAACAATATGCTTGTCTGCACTAAACAAACTGCTGACCATGTTCTGCAAGATTTCCTTTGTAGACTTAAGAAAAACAAACTAACATTTTTAAAACTGCTAAGTCAGTGGCTCTCAACCTTCCTAATGCAGCGACCCTTTAATACAGTTCCACCATGTTGTGGTGACCCCCAGACAATGATTTTCGTTCATAACTTCACTGAATATGTGTTTTCCGATAGTCTTAGGCGACCCCTGTGAAAGGGTCATTAAAACCAAACAAAGGGTTGCTACCTGGGATCGAGAACCTCTGTGCTAAGTGGATAAGTTTAGCTAAAAATAACATCAATTTACTTAAGTTTATCTTTTTTCTTATTTTTAAAGTTTAGTATTTTGATTCAGTCAAGTTCAGTTGAAATACTTTAAAAAAAAAAATTCCTGAACACCTTGCAGCATGCCAAAAATAGTGATTTGTTGTACATCTATTTTAAACTGTTAGCCACACAGAAATGAATCAGCTGCAATATCCTACACAATTAACTCATCACTTAATGTTTCCATTTAGTAACCACCAATAGAAGCAGGTTTGTGAGTTGAACAGATTTTGTATTACTTTTCTTCAGACTGCTTATTAAAACTTGATGTAATAGATAACAAATGTAATTCACATAAATACTACATTAAGAGTGTTTTTATTTTTTTATTTTTCCTTAGTTCACCTATTGCAAGCTCATCATCAATGACAAGATCCCCAATAAAAATGGAGAATTGTTTAAATTGTTTACAAACATATTTAATTTTAAGATAAGTAGCATCGATCCTTTGATCATTGAAAAAGATTGGCCATCACAGGACGACCTCACTAAACTTGTTGAAGCTTTGAAAAGCTTAATACATCCTAACTCTAAGAACTGTGATCTAGAAGAAAGACAGGGAGAATCTTTAGAACTGCAGGCAACAAGAGAAAATGTTAAAAGTAGAGACTCAGAGCACATGTTACCAAAGCAAATAAATGGATATGAACAACTCACAAAGCATTCACAAACAACTTGTGATGATTCTAGGAACACAGATGTACATGCTTTGGGTAAAAATGATGATAAACATGATCTAATCAAAGGTTTTCAAGAGCTGAAAATAAAATATGTGTCAGCTGACCAGGGGGAGTCTGATTCAGCAAAAAAAGTTTTTGAAGAAAATGCCATGGTATCAGTGCACGGCAGACAGGAGGATGCATTGCAAATTAAAAAAAGCACACCAGATAAAGAAAAAGAAGCACCAGCTAGCAAAGATGCAACTATTGGACCAAAAGGCACAGAAGAATTGATTAACATAAGATCTCATGCAGCTCTTCTGTCTTTAGAGGGAGGTTATGAAAAAGATAACATTCCTGCCACAAGGTTGCTAGAAAGGGAGAGTCATGATATACAGAGGAACAAAGCATTGAGAAAAATTGAAAACAATGAAACAGTTTTCAAAAAAGTCAAATCACAAAAATCTAAAAATGATGTTGGGGACCCAACAGATCTACAGCCACATAAATTAACACATAGAAAGGATGCTATTTCCTGTGCACTGCCCGAAGGACCTCTTCTTCAGAAGCTTGATGTCGCTCATAAGAAAAACACTGGAGACAGTGAACGTAATATTTTCACTAAAAACCACAATGCTTACTATGTAAGAACTGAGAGAATTAAACTGAAAGTTCATGTTTTAAAGAGTGACATAACAAAACTGGATGTTGACTGCATAGTAAATGCCTCAAATAAGAGATTGCAGCATGGTGGAGGTGTGTCGAAAGCCATATCTCTGGCAGCTGGCCCAGCTCTGAATAAGGAATGTGAAGCCTTTATAAATACAGGCAAGCTGGTTGCTGTGACTGATATCTTTTTATCCACTGGTGGAAATCTGTCTGCAAAATGTGTTATGCATGCAGTGGGTCCTAAATGGGATGCCTATGATGACAAGAGTAAAGCACAATGTTTTGATGACCTGCGACACACAGTGATCAGATGTCTTGTTGAAGCTGGCAGACAAGGATTCACATCAATAGCTCTCCCTTCAATCAGTGCTGGTAAGAAATTTAATAGATTTTACTTTTATTACTTTACTTAAATTTGTTTTTCGAATGTTAATATCTAACCATACGCTGCACACTGGCTGTTGACTTGATCCTCTAGGTCCTGTAACTCTTGTTCCTTTTCTGCAGTAACACTGTTTCATCAGCATATAGCAAGCCCTATGTAATGTATAAACAACCCAACCGGGTGCTGAAGATAATGAATAAGTAAGTTAAATGAACAAGTGCAAATTAAATCAATACTGCAGTACTACACAGCCAAAATCATTATTGTCCAATTACAAGCCAATCAGGGGGACAGTACCTGATTGAATGACTGAATAAACCCCGCAAAAAAGTTATTAGAATACAAAGCTTTGCATCATAATCAACAAAACTTATCATAACCTGTACTATTTTTTGTTTTGATAAGTCACATCACTGACCAGTTTATGTACTGGGCTGTCCGTCATCATATCTATGGTATTTCTCAGTGTATAATACCTTCCAGCTGATTAACCTTTGTCCAGTATATCTTCTCTCATAAAATGAACAAAACCTGAGTGTCTTGACTGTATATAAATGAGCGCCTTTCTGAAATTACCTCAAGTAGTACTTGATCTGCAGGGTAAGGCAGGGATGTCTTTCCTCAAATTCATTATTCTTACTAACTAATACTGTGAGATCAACAATACTGTAAACCACCAGAAATAGAAATACAAAGCGCTCTGACATCATTGCTCTACTGCTTGGTTCCACATGTGAAATTAGATGTAAGGTAAATTAATTACAATTAATGAGAAGTCACAACTGGGTCTTATATGTGAATAAAAACCCAATTTATTTATTTACCAAACATCACTTCAGTAGCCAGAATCGCAAACACATTCTTGTGGAATACAGACAAGACATGGAACAGAAGACATAAATATTTAAAATAATACTATAAGAACCAAGAGGAACCCTCACAGTACTAGGAAGAGGTAGACAATGATACAAGTTAGAGGACAATATCAAGAGATGGATGAAAAGCAACCTGAGGGAATATAAAGCTGGGACAAGAAACAGAGTATGTCGGATATCAATTGCAGTCAATCTTCATTGTGGAGACTTCACCTGACTGCTTGATTAGGGACTCACAAAAAATTGACTGTGCTGTTACATTCCTTGCAATATATTCAATATTGTGTAGGAATCAAGTCCCACACCTCTTACTTCTCTCATAAGCCTTTGTCATAGATTGCATAGTTTGGTTCACAAATGTAATTTTTCTGGAGACACCTGGGGATCATCACCACAGCTACAGTGTTTGGGCTTTTTTTTTAAAAGCTTCCAGAAGGTGATTAGCCATTTAATGGAACTACAGCCTGCTCAAGAAGATAGTATTGCCTACCTTATTTTCAAGTCTAACAAGTCTTCTGATTTGCTGTAATCTGACACTGCTAAGATTGAAAATCTTCACAATATCCTCATGTTCACTTGTAGATATGTAGCTTGAGTTCACAGCACTTTCTAGGCATTTGCAAAATCACACTACAAAACACTATCACCGTTCAGGAAAGATGGACTCATCCTATAAGGTCACAAAACACACACGGGAGGCCTGTCTTTGAGTAGGCTGTGAGTGGAATGAATGAGTGAAAAACATTTATTTTCAAAGGGTTTTAAATTAGCATACAGACCTGACCTAATTCTGCTCTTCTGATCTCTCTCCTGTCATAAATCATTTTAATTATACATCTGTTAACAAGTAAAAGTTAACATTATCAGCAGCAGCTTATTATTGATTACAAGCACTGGAATGTTTTTGAGTTACACCTATATTTATAACCACAGGAAAACATTGTAACTAATAAATCTAGGGAAATATACGCTATTTCTAAAATACTTTCAAGTGGGCATGTAATCTGTGCTCAGATAATATTGTAACAGTTTCTAATTGTATGTATAGGGACTAGTACTTCTGGTCAAAATGGATGCTAGGCACAGCCACTGTTTTGAGCCGTGGCAAATTTGTTGCTTCTGCCAGATGGTGGGCGTTGCATTGAAAGAATATAGACTGAAAGAATATAGTTTCGTCACCCAGCTTCTGAGTTGAGTGCATGCTGTGACACTGTGACCTGTGGATTTCATTTGGAATGTTTTTCCACTGTGACCAACGTGGTGGTGTGAATTGTAGATTAAGAAAATGGTGTGATGCCTGTTGTCGCAATATTGGCGGTGCCGTTGTGTGATTAAAATTGATCACGTGTGCAACTGTTGATCTGTTGGTGACTTTTGCTACCATCCACGATGAACTGCATTTGTAATGTTGGACTGTTTGTGTTAGTACTCCGGATGGCTACAGTATGCTGTTAGTGCTTGTGAATGCTAGATGTGCTGAGACTGCAGTCTGTCAATCTTTCCACAAAAGACTGTGATAAACATTCTGTGTGTTTTTCGATGGCACAGGAGCGGAGCAACTATGGGGTGACCCGTTTACTGTGAAGCTGAAACTAAGATTACCAGATTACTTTTGATTTGTTGTAGAAGATGGTTCCACAGTTGAGCTGCATAGTACTTTAAACTTGTTTTGTATAGGTCTCTCCTAGGTTTATGGATATGAAATGTGTTTAGGCATTTGCTGTGTCTTCTGTTATATTTACTTAAACAACGGCCACAGGTAACCTGGAGCCTTTGGATAATATTTTATGAATATTAGTGATTAGTGATTAGAAAGGATTATCATCACAGCACTCTGGACAGATCCATAGGTGCTCCGATCTCCTCCTCAAAATCTCCACATGTGTAAAAAGACTGATGACACCTGTTCTGTGTTGGTTAATGAGACGTCTTGTCCTCTTAGTGAAATGTTCATTTCTTGCAGCTCCTGGCTGCACACCCATGTCCATCAGTCTAGACAGGGATATGGAGTCATGTCCTTTGGCGTGCTCCTCGGTACAATAATTGCAGTGCATAGCATTGATAACATCACTTCTGTCCAGTAATGGGCCAGCCATAGCACTTGCAGTGTCAGCAAGATAGTCTGCACGCTCGTTTCCTTGAACACCCGCATGACCTGGCACAAAGATGAAGGTTAGGGCATATATTCATGAAGTACTTAGTGTTTCAATCCATTCTTGCCTGATAAATCCAGCTTGAATTTTTTTAAGCACATTCATCAAGTTATGGATATGTTAAGTCTTATTGAAGAGTAGATGTTGGTGAAGCGGTAAAAGCATTAGATCTTTACTTTACATGTTTTGGAGCTGTCTCTGTCATGATTATTACTTATTAAGTGAATGGAGAGAGACAGAGCCATATAGGATAAAGCCCAGTGCAATGAAGTTGATCCTCTTGACTTCAGCTTTGTTATGTGGTTTCTGCTCACCATCTTTGCTTCCTCAATACATTTCAGTTTCCTTTTTTTCCAGTGACTTTTTGATCATTCTTTGATCACTTTATCTTAGAATGTGTCCAGTATATGGCCAACTTCTTTTCCTTATAAATGCTGAAACCAGCGGTTATTAGGGTTTTTCTTTGATTTCTTCATCCTTCCTTAATACATAATATGTAACGTTCATTAATTTCATTAACATTCATTTCAAATGCAATTAAATGTAATTCCATGTCTTAAATGGATGGATTTTCCCTGGCATATGGTGGAAATAAAATACCGTCAGAATGGAAAATATTAAATAGGTTAACTTGGTTTCCTGAGTTCCATATTTTTTTTTTGGAGGCTTTTAAAAGCTGATAGGCCGCTGCATGTAATAATTTGTTTATTAAATAATTTGTTTGTTTGTTTGTATTTAATTGAAGACCTGGCATTTTGACATTTCCTAAGCCCGACTCTTATCAGCCAACTCAAATAGGTCTCAATTCTAACAAGCTCTTTGAAACTCTCACTGTTATCATTAAGTTTACTTCTTCTGAGTATTGTCTCATCTTCTCTTACTGGGTATATGAAGTGTAAGCATATTAATAAATCATTCCAACGTTGCTGTCTGTTATTATTTTTTTAAAGCTCGCTTAAAATAATAAAGGCCAGATATTTGATTCATTTATTTAATTACGTTTGCAATACTATAAGAGAAAAATTTTGTTTTTTTATCTGGTTGTCATTAATTGATGATACTTACAGTTTTTGTTCTTTAGAAGTATATACATTTTACAACTGAAGTGTTTTGTTTATTTTACAGCAATTTTCAAAGTACCAAAAGAGGAGTGTGCCAGGTGTTACATGGAAGCAGTGAAACATTTTGCCACATTCAATGAGGAGCAAACATCCCTGCGTGAGATTTCCTTTGTTGACGTGGATGACTCTATGGTTAAAATTATTCAAGAACATTTTGAAAAGAACTGGACCAACCCATGTGATCCTCACATTGTACAGAAAGACTGTGATTTTGCCAGGTCACATGTCTATTCTGCAACCAAAAATGTAGCTAAACGTAGTGAAAAATCACCAGATACAAGCAAGATCATATCATCGTCATTATCAACAATAACATCAGGAGCAAATAAATCATCATTTGTTCCAGGAAATAGACTGCCTACCAGCAGCACAGTTTCATCCACATTTCATGAGAGAAGAGAAGAGAGCTTTGCATATCAGATTGGAAAATTTACTTTAAATACTGACACCCGATCAGCTTTTGACCTTTCATCTGACATCACCATCACAGTTGGCAAACCTTTTGACAAGCTCAGTGGTCTTCAAAATTTCAGTGTATCAGACAACAAAGAAAAAGAAGGGAGGTATGAAGAGCAAATTTACATTGTATATGTTTAAACCAAAAGGTCACCCCCAGAAGCAGGTGTGTGCATTGTTTCCAGAGCCTGATTATAAAGAAATAATAAAAGAGGCACTAGGAAACTTAGACATAATCTTGCAGAGCCCGAATCACAAAATCTTCTCACAGAATATTGAAAAGGTGGTTTTAACCAGCAGCATTCTTTATAGAGGTGAGTTTAGAATTTGTAATGTTCTTTAAAAAAAATTCTTTACAAATTGGGTGATAACATTCACATATGTGATCATATAATCACTTTATTGTGAGCATTGAACCCTGGCTTCTATTTTTTTTTTTTTAAGTTTCCATCCTCATTAATTGTTGAGTCCATTTTTACTGAGGTATTTTAAAGTAAGGGAAATGGAGGATAAATCCACAGACTTCATGATTAAATAATCTTGTTGTTGTGAGCATGCACCTCCTTGACAGCCCTTTGGTAAAAGTACAGGTCCTCACCTATTGTGACAGTGTGGTGTATATAATATTGTTAATAACAGACTAGTGGAAGCATGTTGTGCTGCAAATAAGAAATGGTCTGTTCTTATCTGGAAGAGAAGACTTTAAATGTATCCTCTTAATTAGCTTAAGTAGATCCTGGGCGTTGAAATCATTTTGCTTTTTGTCATCAACCCCACATGGATATACACTTATGTAGTGAGCGTGTGGTTTTGAATCCTGACAATGCACACCAAGGTGAGAAACTGGACTAATATCAGAGCTATGTTGATCCCAGACAAAGTCCTGGATAAAAATAAAGCAGCAAAAGTGGCTCAAAAAATAAAATTAAAATAGCTGTAATTCTATCCACAGGAGTAGGAAAAGGATAGTTGAATATCAAGGTGAATTCTATGAGAGAAAATCAAGATACCCAGTTAACCTCTCTGACTTTCTCCTCTCCTGGTATTAGTTTTATAATTATAGTAGGGTGGCAGCATGGTTTTGAGGTATGATGTCCTCCTCGATTGCTAGAGGTCCCGGGTTCAAGCCCCAGTGATGACTGAGATTTGTTTTTGTGGACTTCTGGTAATATTCATCGTCTCTGGGTAGTAAGACAGGATGCTCGTGTGTATTATTGCGCATGTAAAAAATCCCTTGGCAGTTGGAAATCTTATTTTAGGATCCTCGCTGATGCTACAGAGCCTTTGCACTGCACTGAGCTACATTGAACTCGGGCTTGAAGTAGAACAGAGCACTTATGGGTTACTACCCGTGTGCCATGATGTTGATCCGTTGTTGATACCTTCAAACCTGACAAAAGCCCCCATCAGGCAATCAGGTTATTTATATCTAAGTGCGTTGATGTAAACTAGTATGAGCAAAGGCACTTGAAACTAAATACGCAATTTACCCAACTAAGATTTTTTAATAACTTGACATAAAGTTTATTAATTCGATCCAAAGCAAAATATGTGGTTATGCTCTCTCTCTCTCTCTCTCTCTCTCTCTCTCTCTCTCTCTCTCCCCCTCCCTCCCTCCCTCCCTCCCTCCCTCTCTCTCTCTCTCTCTCTCTCTCTCTCTCTCTCTCTCTCTCTTAAATTGTTGCCAGTTTATTAGAAAATGTTGGAAATCGTTTCGCTCATAAAATTTTACACAAATAGGGGTTTCCCATCTGAATGCAGCCCTTGAAACCGGAATTATGTCACAGAACTCCGTTAAGACCAGTCCCAAGCCAGGCTGTAAAAAAAAAGAGAAGAGTCTGGCTGACCTGTTGGCTTTATGCATCTCTGGAAGTAGTGGGTAACCGTGAACCAGCCAGACAGCCTGCATGGAGACCGCAAGAAGGCAGCCTTTCCACCATGCAAAGGCACACCAGGCCAATCACCTGTTTGACTTATACTATAATTACAAGTTACCACAGAGAGAAAACCAGACGGATCTTAACGACGATGAACTGCCATGGCTTACGGACTACAATTTACGTAATATGGCATTAACGGGAAGGAAAATGAGGTAGTAGGTGAGATAAGAAAAGCAAAATTAGGAATCTTAGCTCTGACTTTAACCAAGAAAAAGGGGCAGGGAATCACAGATCGTGATGAAAGTATGCTGCTCTACAGTGGTGTCCCTATGACGGAGACAGCCAAAGGGGGTGATGGCTGTATTGTAGCCAGAAATAAAGTTAGTAACATCAAGGGACGGAAATTTATCTCAGAGGGAATTTAACTCTGATGGGGTGGAGTGATCGAGAGATATGGTGAAGATGTTTTGAATGACAATGGCAGCAACTTCTCAGATTCTGCAGGGAATAGAATCTTGACATTACAAACACAAAATTCCCCCACAAACGTATACATGCATACACAAGATGTGAACCTTAAAAAAATGAGAGATCCATCATTTACTGTGCCGTAATAAGGAAAGGTTCATTTAAGTTTGTGTGATCACAGTAAAGAGAACGACTGAAAGAACTGCTCCAACAAGGCAACATCGACAACCATGCAAGAAACCAAGAAGAGTTGAGGATTAAGGCATACGAGCTAAGAGAGCAAGAGGTTAAGGCTAGATACCAGGATCTTATAGTGAAAGCAACTGGAACTGAAGAAGAACCGTTAAAGGACAATGAAACCCTCTGGTGCAGAATATCCTTACAGCAGCTTCAGTAGAAGCATGTTTTGAAACCCCAAGGGGAAGGAATGGACATGGGACACCTTGGTGGACGGAAGAAGTCAAAGTGAAAAAAGGAGAAAAGAAAAAGGCATGGAAGCAATACCAGCCAGGAACACAGCTGAAGAAATAGAGAAATATAAACAATATGTGGCACTCAGAACAGAAGCCAAAAATAAAGTGTCTAATATAAAACAGAAATCGTGAGAAGAGTTTGGAAAAAAGTTGGAAAAGAATGCAAGAGAGAATCAAAAACTGTTCTAAAAGACCCTCAAGAACATGAGAAAGGAGAAAGAGTACCCGCTGAAATTCATAAAACACAACAGATGATATAATGGACAGATGGAAAGAATACTTCTCAGAGCTCCTCGGTCTCAATGAAAGTCAAGTCCCAGAAATAACGGACCTCACTCAAGAGAAGGAAATCATCCACAGCTAAGATAATATTGAAAGCATCTATTGAGAAGATTAGGCTAGGGAAAGCAGCGACTTCTCTTAAAAGTTCTCCATGTAGCCTGGTTTAGTATAACTATACTAAAAGATTGGGGATTGCCATAATTATACCTATATTTAAAAAGGGTGATAACAGACGATGTGAAAACCCCAGAGGCAAATTTGTTCCGGTAAAAGTTACTTGAGAATTCTCTAGCAGAGACTGAGAAGTCTGGCAGTGCCACAGCTGTATGAGGCCCCTACAGCTTCAGAGCAAATGGAAGTGCTCAAGACCTTATCTTCACACTCAGACAGATGAGTTAAAAAGCCCTTGAAAATAAGAGTGAAATGCACCTATGTTTTTGGGATCTAGAAAAGGCTGTGGATAAGGGCGTGCTGGAGCAAGCTATGGCAGGGAAAAACATTCCAGCACCCCCGATCAGTGCAATACAGAGTTTCTACAAAAGCTGCAGAAATGTAAGAACAGCAGACCAAAGGCCCAAAAAATTTAAGACCACTAGCAGTGTTCGACAAGTTGATATTCTCTCACCTTAAGTCTTCATTCTTATGATGGATGATGTCATCAAGACCTGTAAGGAGAAGACAAAGAAGTACTCAGTAAGGTACTGGAAGATGAGACCAATCTGTATATCAGAGCTGGCATTAGCAGACAACATAACCCTGATAGCTAAAACAGAGGCACATCTTCAATCTAACTTACTTGTTTGGAAGGAAGAGCTTGAGAAGAGAGGGATGACCATCAGTATCTCCAAAACTAAAACCATGGTGATCTCAAGAGAGAAAAAGAAACACCAAATCAAAAATGGAGACCAAAATGGAGGCATTAAGACAGCGCTAGCTACTTGAAAAGCAGTAGCTGGGAAACTTTTCCATAAACCGAGGGGGTTTCTTAGGAAAAGAGAAATCGGCAAGAGGACCAAAATGGCTGTTTACCGCTCTACTTAAGTCCCAGTCCTGACCTACAGATGTGAATCATGGGCAATGACAACAGCTCACAGAAGCCAGCTTCAGGCCTCAGAAATGAGATATGTGAGAAATGTGGTCCGAATGACAAGAAGGGACAAAGTTCGCAACCAGTCAATACGTCATGATCTTGAAACCCAGGCCTTACAAACTCGAGTGGATCAGTCACAGTTACGACGGTTTGCAGAATGGGAGAAAATCAGCCACCATTTCAGGCATGAGAGGCTAAGAACCAAGGAACCAGACCACCAGGATGACCAGGGTCGGTGGGTAGACAACAACCAACAGTCCCTGATGGACAGAGGACTAGAATGAAACTAAGCCAGAAAAAAAACTACCGATAGAGAAGTCTAGCGATCTCTCTTGCAAACCTCTACATACCAAGAGCGACTAAATAAGTAAGTAATACATCACAGTCCATAGCAACATCGATAAACTATAAGCGAATATGGCCAATAGTGATTATTGTGTACCGGAATATACAAGGATCAGAGAAAGATCCAGGGCTGTAGATGTCGGATCTTTTGTGCAGTGAACACACCAGCTGTTCTGCCTTGACAGCTTGGTCTAGCCTTTTGAGTACTAGTACCTATATTGTGAAAGGGGAACACTTAGACCATAAGTCCCTTGATCAGGAAAACCCTTCTAGTCAAGACCGTTGTGCATGACCAAAGAGGCACAAAACGCAATGGATCTAGAGGTTCCAGTTCTTTTTAAGGAAAAAAAAACATAATCTCTCCTAAACGTGTCCTCTTTTCCACCCTAAACAACTCTCATTCAAGGGATGTCAAAGTTCCTCCTTTTTGGGGTACAATGCAATAACTAAATGCCTGTCAGTCAAGAAGGCTGCAGCACTTGTTTGCCAAAACTGGGGTACATTGTCATGGTCCGACAAGCTGATCTGAGCTTTGCATTGTCATAAACAAAGTAACCACCTTCCCTGTACATTTCCCTTCTGATAACAACTTCCATGAGACAAGTGTCAATACTAGCCATCTGACCAACACTCAGCGTGAAATTATTACTTTTATCACCTGTTACCTGTCACCCTGGGTCATGAAAAACAATAAGATAACTTGTTTGTAGCTCTGTTTTTGATGATGTCGGCGACAAGTCGTTTTATTTTTTCATGCCTCTGTTTTTTTGTGTAGC